TCCTATTAGTCAACTAAATTTGAATATTCATTGTCAACTAAAAAACATTAAAATTCTTAATCTTATTTAAGCATTCTATTACTATATATTATTTAAATTATTTAATAATGTATAAAAATAATTTTAGTATAATTTAATATTATTTTTAAGAAAGGATCCAACAATTAAGAATCTAAGTGAGTTCAATAAGTTTGGCTATTATCTAATGAAATAGTTTTAAATTAGTCTTTTGATAAAGATCAAATTCCAATTTTCTCTTTCTATAAAATTAAACTGAATTAAATATTAGAATTGACGAACATCTAAATTAAAAATATAAAATTTTGAATTCATCTTTAACTTTTTAGAATAAGATAATTTGTTTTATTAAATTGATAAATCTAAAGATTAATTATAATTCTATTGTTATTTTCCAATTAGTGGTGATATTTAACCTAAATAATAATTTGTATATTTACTAAAGAAACTTGATAGGTTTGGTGAATGCTAAGATTTATAGTAAAATAAACTCAAAATTCCAGTCTTTTCTTCATTTCTATAAAAAGAATATGAACTTTATAATAATTAAACTGGAATTGTAAGATTGAGTATAGTAAGATTTCTAGATAATCTATGAAAAATGTAAATTATATCTATTTAATGACGAAAATAAGATATATTTCTTTAATTGTTAATAAAACCAAATATCAATGAGCATAAACACTAATTAATTTGAAATGAAGTGAGATACTTGTTTTCAATAATACTAGAATATCTAGGAGATTACTATATAATTGATAAAAATAAGATGAAAATAGAAATGCTTTAACTTATTTCTAATTTAATAAATATAATATAAATTCAATCTAATATTGAAATAATAAGAGTCTAATAAATCTCTTAATCAATTATTATTTATATTAACAATATGAAAATTCCAATCTTAATATCTATAGAACCTTTTTCATAAAGTCGTACTAATTAGCTTTCATAAAATCTATATTTGCCAGATAAAATACTTTACTATAAAGAGCTTGGATTTTATAAATTTATTCAATATAAAAATATTCTTGCTTTTGAATTAAATGGAGAAGTAAAATGTTTTTAATTATCAGACGTCTAATTTTTTTAAATTAAAAATTGGTTAAAGGATCTCTTTTTAATTTGGGCAGCATATCTCATTTTTTATTTTAAATTATACATGATCAAACTAACTCAATAATTTTATATCATCTTGACGAATATGAATTACATTAGTTCAGCAATTATACACTTAAAAAATATTATTTCTCAAATTCTTTACAATATAGTATTTATAAAAGATAAAAGATTAGACACTTATTCATATCTGAAACTATCTATTTTAATTGAAAAAATAATCTTATTTTATAGCTACATATAGTTTAAAAATTACAACAATTAAATTGATTGATATAATGATCAATATAAGAATAAAAATCTATATATCAACAAACGATACTTATTTTTAATTTATCAATAATACTTTAGTATATTTGAATAATGAATAAATCTGTTACCATTATTTGTATGAGATAGTTGCACTTATTTAAACTGATATTAGTAACTAAAAATTATTATTATAATCATATCACATAACATTAAATCCAACTTACAAATTTGAAAATGGTATCTAATTAAACATCCTAATATAAAATGACTGTCAGCTTTTATATTCTTAAGAGAATTAGACTACTTTAACAATTCAAAAGCATGAAAATTTGAAAATAAAAAAATTTCTAAAGTATTTTTAGCCCCTATACATAATTTACAATTAAAGACAATTCAAATATTAAATTGAAGGGACTTTTGCAATTCGTTGAAGAAATTTAAGATTGCATAGATATATTACCCTACTGTATAAAAATAAAAACTATTGTATTCTTAAATTAAAACAAGATAGTAGTATATCCATTTTAAGTAATCATACTAAATGACAAATTCGTATAGCCAAATATTGAAAAGGACTTCCAATAGGTATTTTGGATATCAAATAATATTTTTTTATGGTTTTATCAATTAGATGATTAATTGCATATTCAATTACTTTAGTGAATCTTAGAAGATAATTAAAATTGTTAGGAACTCGGTGTAAATAATAAATTTTATAGTTGGTCTACCTGTTTATGAAAATATTATAAAAATATAAAATTTAATTAAATTTTAGAATAAATTAAATTAGACTGTTATATTTATTTAAAATTAGACTTTTAGTTTAATATTTTTTCCCATTAATAATTTGGATATTAAATACATCGAATAATCAGATGATTAATATGTTGCTTTATATATGTTGGATTTTAAATAACAATTCGAAATAGTAATTAACTAAATTAATTGGAGAGGAGTTTATCAAAAATTTTTTCGATAATCACCAAAGTAATTTCAAATTCATTGCTTATTTTTTTATATTTGCTTTTTACATAAATTAGGAAAATAATAATTTGATAAATACCATAATGTTTTGATTTATTTATACTACAAATTTCGTTTTCATTAATCAATCACACATATATTGTGGAATAAAAATACGAAATAGATTTTCTAAATATTAACAAATCATCTTTCAACTTTTTTTGTTTGCTTAGAATGAAGTATCAAATGCACAAATTTCAATACTTTTAATTCTCAAAACTTTTAATGATTTCAATATGTCAATCATTATTATTTAATTATTAAATCTAGTTTTTATAATATTTTAAGTGAAATAAAAATATTTTGGGATAATCACAAAAGTAAATACCAACATAAGATACTTTGAGTTGATTGTTGAAGATAAAAAATATGAAATTATATCTAAATAATATTTTCATTGTTAATAATTATAAATATAATTCTTATCCCATTAAATTGTTTTTTGAAAATAAAATAATTCATTAATGAATTTAGATTTAATTATCAAATTCAATCTAATAGTTTCTTAAATATGTTAATTGGTTTATTTTTATTTTATCATAAAATATATCAATACCATGATAATTGGATAAAAAAGAAATTTGGTTTAAAAAAGATTTTAAGAAATTAAGTTTAATAATTATTTATAAATGATATGATTTTTCTTTCAATGAATAGGTTGATATCATTTAATTACGATTACATTTTAAATTTTTTATACTTAGTGTAATTAGCAATCCTTATAAATTACAAAATTATTTTTAATCATTAAAGTCTCTTATCTTATTCCTCAAATTTAACTTCTTACTTATATTTAATATATTTTTCCTTAAATGATGACACAGTTTAATTTAATAATAACAGTAAATTCGAATACTCAAATTAATTTATAGAAATAAATTTGATCAAATGAATAAATGGATTAGATTGCAAAATGTTAATGATTATCTTTTAGAAATGTCTATTATTAGAAATTGACTTTTGATTATTATAAATACTAGAAAGTTGTTAATTAAATATAATCTTAATAAGAAATAAAATAATTTGGAGGAAAATTCTTTATTGGTTTAAATCGCACAGAACATTCTAGATTTTTCTATTGATGTTATTAAAAATGATGAACCATTATTTGTTATCCATAATAAATAATTTTTAGTATGTTAAATTAAGAGTGTTGTGCTTCTATTTAATTAAATAATAAGCCATATCAATATGAGCTTATTTCAAAAGATTGGATTCATTAATAGCAATTGTGCTATGCCATAGCTATTAATGATAGTAATACACTCTTAACTTATTCAGCATATAAAAATATTAAAATACTTTAATTCAAAAATGGATAGATGAAACAACTCTAATAAATATAAAAACATACAGATTGGGTCACTACTCTTAATTTTTTTAAATAGAGACCAAACTTTGTTTCTGGTTCTTAAGATGCATCAATAATTATTTGGTTCTCAATTCTTATGATAAATCCAAAGTATATGATGAAGTTAAAAGGACATTCTAGACTCATAAGTTGCGTTGCATTAAATCATATCAATGAAAACCTCTTTATAAGTGGATCAGGAGATGGCAAATTGTAATTCTGGTCTTCCTAAGCTCCTGCTACTTCTGAATGGTCTTGTTTTCAAACAATTAAAGAGCATACAAATACTATTTATGAGTGCTCATTTAATGAGGATGGTAATCAATTAATTACTTGTGGATAAGATTGTAAGATATTAATAATCGAAAAATAACATAATTAGTAATAATGGGATGTTAAATAGGTTATTTAATTGAATAGAAGAGGTTATAGATTGAAATTTATAAATAATCACACCTTTGTATTTTTACCCTACTCCTCTAATGATCTTCGAATTTATAAACTAAGTACGACAGCACCTTCAAAGGAAGCGTATATAAATACATAAAATATTCCAATTCATGGAGGTGAACAATCTTGTATGTGTTACTATCCATCTCAATACAATAAATAGAAAAATATTTTGATAATAAAAAATGGATGCAGTATAAATTGTTTAAGATTCTTACAATCCCCTTATTCCATTTAGTTTTTAGATTGCGAATATGAATATCAAATTGTTTGTGATTAGAAGAGTGAAGGAAATATTTTTGGTACATTAAGTAATGATGGAGAATTTTTAATATATTGGGATTCAAATTCAAAGGATATTAAGGTAAGAAAATATACAGAAAATATTTGAATTCATAATAGAAATTTATTTAATTTAATATAAATCAATTTTTCTTTGCAAAAAATGAAAAAGTAGGAATTGTTAAACAAAAATAATCATTTTATATATATTGTACTATATATAATCCATTTCTTTTTAGAGACAAATAATAATAATGTTTAATATTTTTAATTATTTTATAAATTATGTTAATTTCTTAATTTAATTTCTAAGTGTAAAATATTCTTAAATAAGTTCAACTGCTACATAGAAGTAAATAGAAATTCTAAATAATAGAATTATTTTTTCAATCTACCTCATTAACAGAATTAGAAATAAAAATTTTATTATAAGAGATATATAGGATTGAAAATTATAAATAACAAATTATTAAATGTTAATAAGATTAAACTTTATATTATATTTTCACTTTTTGTGTGCAATAAAAGCTACGATTAGCAGTATAAATGCCACTACCATAAAGATAATGAATAAAATGCCCACAAAAATTACAAATAGAGTTACTTCTAAGTAAATAAAGAGTGCACCTGATATATACTCATCCAAATTAAGGTTAAACTAAAATTATTATATCAAATACTTTTCCTCTCTATATTAATCTGGTTTCAAATAATAGTAGACATACATAGATTAAATGAATAAGTACACTTATAACTATCAGCCAAGCTAACTCAGTGTATATCATTATAAAAATAAATATGATGAATACATCAAGTATAAGTGCGATTAACAAAATGTCTAAACATAAGATTATATATTACATGAAGCATTTATGAATTAAGAATCCTTAAATTTATATGCAATAATTGTCCCAAATGTACATACAGTCATGCAAAATTAATATAAGATTATTATCAAACTGTTTTCATTCCACCAGAGTTGTTCAGCATATGGTGCTGCCAAGACACACCCTACTCCAAAGGAATACAAGAAATATACAATCAGATTAAAGGGAGGCTATTCTATATAAAAATTACATTACTCTTCTGAACAATTTTATTAAATAAGCCATTAATCCTAACAAAATTGTACATGAAAGAATAACCCAATACAAAGGAGTTGGGTATCCTAAAAAGATTAAACTCCATCTGAACTCGAAGGAATAATAAAACATTATGACCATTAGATACTGTAGTATGAACAAACCAGCTAAAAATATGTATAGCTTGACAATAAATAGCATTTGCTGGTCATGACTTGAATATTCTTGACTAGCAACGATAGGAGATTCAGGAAAATATTAATACCAACCTAATGCTTTAGAAGTTTCATTAAATATCCCTTATTCATTTATTTCTTATTGTGTAACCACCATAGGTACATTAGTGGTTTGTGTATCATTGACTTTTGACATCTTATAGATTTATTTTTATTTTAAATTTAATGAAATATTTATATGGATTGTTTAATTTTAATACATAAAAAAAGATACTTGATATTTAAAGTCTATATTAATAATAAATACTATGTATATTTATCTTCTATTAGGATAGGGTATAGGTATTCGAACTAGAATTAAGGAAGAAATAAAATATGGAATCAAAAAACATGATGTGAAAATCTAAGAAAAAAGTCACAAAAAAAAACATTTATGTGTTATAGATATTGAATTTAGATAAAATAAGTTGAGTAATAGTGTTTGCAAAAGTAGTTATTTATAAACCTGATATATTTAATTATGACGAACTATTTAATAATAATTAATTTATTTTTAAATCGAATTAAATTATTAATACTTTTTTGGTTATTTTTTTGATTATTTATCAAGTTAATAACTACTAGAAATTAAATAATCAAAAAGTTAATAATAATTCAGGGAAGGAAGGTATAATTAGTTAAAATTATGATAAGAGAACTCATGAGTGGATATATAGGCTTTTTTCTAAGGATTACTTTTACTTATAAAGGTTATAATGAAAGGGATCAGATGTATTCAGTTTACAACATATAAAAATTTTCAAGAGTAACAGAATATATCCCTATAAATATTCATAATTATTTATAAATTTTAGTAGTTTATATTGAAAAAGTTATTAAAAAAATAAATTTACATATTAGACAAGTTTTTATCTTACTTTTAATTCCTTTCTTTCTGCTAAAAAAAAATTATTTATGCTCAGTAACTAACGTTTATATCAAATGAAAAAAAATTGCTTAGAAACCAGCTTCAAATAACTTTACAAATAAGGAAAATATTAAGCAATTAATAATATGTTTTATTTTCTAATAAGGTTTGATTGAAATTATTCTTCATAGTAATGCCTCATTAAGAAATTACCTTGAAACAATCAAGAAAACATTATGATTATAATTTATTTAAGAAATTATTCCATATACTAAAATTGTCTAGAAAACTATCATTTAATTATATTCATAAGAGAGTTATTTAAACTTAAATTGATCAAATCGATATTGTTGATTTTAAATAATTCAAACAAAATATAGCAAATCCTTAAATGTTAAAAATTATTGCTTTCTTCTAAGAAATAATTATATTCGATTAATGAAAGAATTCAGTAGAGTAAAAACAAAGTTTTGTATGATTATGATATATTGAAAAAGAGTATTTCAAAATAAAATAAATGACAAATAAAATAATTTGCATTTTGTTGTTATGATTTAAAATAAGAACAATTTTTATAATATTAATCAAAATTATAATCATTTTAGTTGTTACTCTTCCTCTTTATTCCTAAAATATTAGACAACATTTGTTAAATTAAAGGTATTTTTTAATTGTTTCTGTTACTAAGCTTATTTTATGACCTACAAAAATGTCATTCCAGTCGATTTTTTACTTGGTTGTGCCTTTATAAAATAATAAACATAAAATTATACAATTGTAATTAAAGGTTGGACAACTATAGTTTNCAAAAAAAAACATTTATGTGTTATAGATATTGAATTTAGATAAAATAAGTTGAGTAATAGTGTTTGCAAAAGTAGTTATTTATAAACCTGATATATTTAATTATGACGAACTATTTAATAATAATTAATTTATTTTTAAATCGAATTAAATTATTAATACTTTTTTGGTTATTTTTTTGATTATTTATCAAGTTAATAACTACTAGAAATTAAATAATCAAAAAGTTAATAATAATTCAGGGAAGGAAGGTATAATTAGTTAAAATTATGATAAGAGAACTCATGAGTGGATATATAGGCTTTTTTCTAAGGATTACTTTTACTTATAAAGGTTATAATGAAAGGGATCAGATGTATTCAGTTTACAACATATAAAAATTTTCAAGAGTAACAGAATATATCCCTATAAATATTCATAATTATTTATAAATTTTAGTAGTTTATATTGAAAAAGTTATTAAAAAAATAAATTTACATATTAGACAAGTTTTTATCTTACTTTTAATTCCTTTCTTTCTGCTAAAAAAAAATTATTTATGCTCAGTAACTAACGTTTATATCAAATGAAAAAAAATTGCTTAGAAACCAGCTTCAAATAACTTTACAAATAAGGAAAATATTAAGCAATTAATAATATGTTTTATTTTCTAATAAGGTTTGATTGAAATTATTCTTCATAGTAATGCCTCATTAAGAAATTACCTTGAAACAATCAAGAAAACATTATGATTATAATTTATTTAAGAAATTATTCCATATACTAAAATTGTCTAGAAAACTATCATTTAATTATATTCATAAGAGAGTTATTTAAACTTAAATTGATCAAATCGATATTGTTGATTTTAAATAATTCAAACAAAATATAGCAAATCCTTAAATGTTAAAAATTATTGCTTTCTTCTAAGAAATAATTATATTCGATTAATGAAAGAATTCAGTAGAGTAAAAACAAAGTTTTGTATGATTATGATATATTGAAAAAGAGTATTTCAAAATAAAATAAATGACAAATAAAATAATTTGCATTTTGTTGTTATGATTTAAAATAAGAACAATTTTTATAATATTAATCAAAATTATAATCATTTTAGTTGTTACTCTTCCTCTTTATTCCTAAAATATTAGACAACATTTGTTAAATTAAAGGTATTTTTTAATTGTTTCTGTTACTAAGCTTATTTTATGACCTACAAAAATGTCATTCCAGTCGATTTTTTACTTGGTTGTGCCTTTATAAAATAATAAACATAAAATTATACAATTGTAATTAAAGGTTGGACAACTATAGTTTTTAATTGCTCCTCTAATAGTTTTTCCTCTTATTAAGGTGTTATTTTATCAGTATTTTCTTCATCATCTGGATTTGGTTGTTTAAGTACTTGACCGTAAGTCTTTTACATGCACTTATCAAAATCAGAAAGATCATCAGATTCACGAAATTATGCTTTAATAATTTCACCCAATCTAATATAAATGAGAAAGGTAAGTGCATCTAATTTCTTAAACAGAGGTTGTAATCTTCTATCATCAATAGTCATTTATTCATTAGTTCTAATAAGGGATAATTTTTCAGCACATCTAGCCAAAGCTTCTAAGAATTCATAAAACTCCATTTAGAAATGTTTTAGCAAGTAAAGTTCATCAACAGAGGTCTGCATAGCTAGCAAATAAGCAAGATAAGCATCCCTTTCAACAAAAATATCACAATATAAATCGCATTTATTTAATAAATCTCTGAAATCTTTAAATTATAGCCATATATGTTTGTAATACTTTTATTTGGCATTTAATTTAGATGTAAATTTGAAAAGCATTTTTAACATAGGTAATCTCTCCTCTAATAGAAAATTTAATTATATGAATTACTTAATAAAATGTCACATTATTCATTCCAATATCTCATATCTCTCCAATCTTAACTACGATCAATTTCTTAAAGTTTTAATTTAATTCCATCTTCTTCAAACATTTTCCTCAAACTCTCTTTGATTGACTTGCAAATTTAGGTTCTTAGATATTTATCAATAGCAATTCTAACTAGAACTTCCATCAATTGATATCTTACTAATGCTTTTTCATAAACATTGGGATAATTGATATCTTTTACATTTGATGTTGCAATAAAATTTAAATCAATATCTCCAGATCGAAATTTTTCAGAAATGACTCCTGTAGCTGATAAAAAGTCAGAGAAAGCATTTGATGAAATACAAGGAATTGTCGCACCAATAAGGGTGGATGCTAAAAATTTATATGCTGCAAAAATGAAAGGATAATATTCTCTCATAATTTCTTTAACTTCATTATATTCAATTGGGTCTTTAATAATTTTATTAATTTTTGAACTTCCATAATCATATTCAAAACATTCATCAATTAACTCATCATTATCTGGTTAATAGTTTTTGAAAATTGAAATCTCATAACTCCAAAATTTTTCAGTTTTAGTAAGAAATTATGTTAAATCAAAAGTTTTTTCTTCTTCTCTTGGTTTACTAAATATTTTTGCAAAATATCTATCCATAATTGACTATTTATCTTCAGTAAAAAGTTCATTAACAAATCCCATTTTGTTACCTTCAATGAGAATATCCCCATTATATAAAAATGATTGTTTTGTTGAATATAAAGGATCTTCTTGAGGAGTCTATGTGATTAACTAATTTTTAGCTGTTGTTTATATTCCAAGTACAGGATTACTAAAAAAATACGTTACCCTGAAATTTGGAGGACACATTCTATAAGCAGAATATTCTCCATTATGAAGTGTCATTAAAACAGGTTTGTAATTCTCAAAATTCAAATGAACAAATATGGGATCATTATTCATCCCACCAGATTTACCTGGTGTCCAAGTAAATTTTACTTCTTGCCAACCATCACATATCCAACAAGCATCCAATTCAGAGTCAGTGTCATAATTTTGTTTAATTGGTTTCATACCTTATATTCTTCGAAATCTAAAATTTCTATACAATTCTGAATCAGTTTATAAATCTTTTATTCTTTTATACTATTATTTTTAATGTTTTTATTATTCTTATATTTCTAATTCAGGATTTTAATTGTCATCTACTAATTTTAGAGTAGTCTAAGGGTTCTTTTTGCATTCATCAATTTTTTTTTGAATATCTATAGCTTCCTGAATTCTATCTCTTAAATGTCCAGTAGAGTCAACTGAATATTTTGGGCAATTTCCTTAATAATGAAATCCATATATATTCTGATTTTAATCTAAAGCTTTTTTTATTTCAATAGACTGTTCTTCATTAAATCCATTATATGAAATATCAATATGCATTAATTCTGGATACTATTTAATAATTACTTTGGCCATTTGTTAAGAACATTCTAAAGATGCTGTTCTGTTATATGAAATATCAAAAACTTTTACACTAGAATTTTTATATAATGCTTTCCAAATATTAACAGCTCCAACACTATTTATTGAATTAAAATGAAGATATAATTCAAATAGAA